ATAGCCCTACAGCATCTTCCCCTGTAACCGGTGAAGGTGTAACACCTGCCCATCTATCTCCTCCCTCCCCAGTATCTAAGGGCCCAAACATACCTTCCAGGTGTAAAGCAACACTTCACCTGCACTTCCCAGAATCTAGTCTACTGCATTCGCTGCTCACAATGTGGTCTCCTCTATATTGGGGAAACGAAGCATAGACTGGGTGATCGCTTTGCAGAACATCTATGTTCTGCTCGCAAAAAAGACCCTGAACTACCTGTTGCCTGCCACTTTAATGCACCACGCTGCTCCCTGGCCAACATCTCTGTTTCTGGCTTGCTCCAATGTTCCAGCGAAGCCCAACGCGAGCTGGAAGAACAACACCTCATTTTCCACTTGGGGACCCTGCAGCCCTCTAGACTCAATATTGTGTTCAATAATTTTAGGGCCTAAACTCTCCAATGTCCCAGCCCTCTACCCCACACACCAGGCCTTGTTACCACATAGCCTGCCATTACATACCCTCTGTTGTTTGTCACTAATAGTCCCCATTAACAACTATTCACCCTCCCAGCCTGATCATTATCCACTCCTTTGTCTGTCCAATTGTTCTTCTCTCTCTTTAGGCTCTATCCTATTGTTTACCCCCTACCCCATCCCCCTCCCCTTTTTCCTGCATATAAACTGAAGTTTTCCTGGCCACCATCAGTTCTGAGGAAGGGTCACCAGGCCTGAAACGTCAACTCTGATTTTTCCTTCATAGATGCTGCCAGACCTGCTGAGCTTTTCCAACAACTTCTGTTTTTGTTCCTGATTTACAGCATTCGTAGTTCTTTCGGTTCCTACGTGTCAGGTATGACTCCAACCAGCGAAGAGTTTGCTTCCTGATACCCATTGATTCCAGTTTTGTTAGGGCTCCTTGATGCCACACCCGGTCGAATGCAGTCTTGATGTCAAAGGCTGTTACTCTTACCTCAATTCTGGAATTCAGCTCTTTTGTCCATGTTTGAACCAAGGCAGTAGTGAGGTCGGGAGCTGAGTAGCCCTGGCGCAACCCAAACTGGGCGTCACTGACCAGGAGACAACAAGGTGCAGGGCTGGATGAACACAGCAGGCCAAGCAGCATCATAGGAGCAGAGAGGCTGACGTTTCGGGCCTAGACCCTTCATCAGAAAAGGGGGAGGGGAAGGGGGTTTTGAAATAAATAGGGAGAGAGTGGGAGGCGGATAGAAGAGGGATAGAGGAGAGGATAGGTGGAGAGGAAACAAACAGGTCGAAGAGGCGGGGATGGGGCCAGGAAAGGTGAGTGTAGGTAGGGAGTTAGGAAGGGGATAGGTCA